TAATGTCACACTCTTGTGTTTTTTTTTTTTTCCCTCTGTGGGCAGGACTTTGGCTCCCTCTACTTTGTCCCTAGGTAGTTACTTGGCCATTAGTCTTTTCTGACGGTTATTTTCATTTATTTGTGAGGTATTCATTTGCTTAAAATCAATTTCTCCCAAGCTGGGCTGCCCATACACCATGGCTCTGCATGGGGGGAAAGAGAGCAAGATGGTATGTGTGTGGGGTGGGAATGGCCATGGGGTATGCAGGGAGATGGAGTGAGCCTGGCTCAGCTGTATACATATAATCAATAGGAGAAATCGACACCTTCGTAAAAGTTACAGGCCCTGCTGGGTGAGCTCTTTTCAGTGGTGCCAAGAAACGCACCTATTTCATTTGTCCTCTTCTTGGGGCTGGGATATGTTCAGCCTCAAAGCAGCAGGCAGCCTGGGAATGGAGTGGTCACTTCATCCCTCATTGTTTCCAGCTTCCATCCATGGAGGGTTTGGGGGTGAAGATACGGACAGAAACCTGGGAGCTGCTTTGCTTTTGAGAAGGGAGGGAAATAAATACATTGAGCCATAAGCATTCACTGATTCACTCAATATTTATTGAGTACCGTCTAGGTACCAGATGCTTTTTTAAGCACTCTGGGGTCAACAGCAAACAAGACAGACATGGCCAGACCTCTGTGCCCTGAGGGTCTGGTGGAGGATGGACATTTTACAGCTGTGATGAGTGCAGTGAGGAGGCTTGGGTCAGGAGAGCCTCTTCTGAGGACTTAGCGTGAAGCTGTAATCTGAAGGGTAAGCAGGGGCTGGCGGGGAGAAGGGCAGGGAGTGAGGAGAAGCATCCAGGCTGTAGGGAGCCCCCACAAATAGGCCCTGGAGGGGAGTGGGCGGGGGGCAGGTGATTAGAGGGAAAGGAGGAAAGGGCTGGTAGCATCCAGGTTTAGCAGGGTATAGAGGGAGTCAGGGTTAGGTGCTTGATCTTCATCCTGACAGCACTGGCAGGTCAGTAAGGAGAGAGAAGCGGTCACGTTTCTATTGAGAGAGGACCCGTCTGGTGCCCATATGGAGAGTGAATCACACATGTCTAGCGGAGAGGCAGAGACCCTTGTAGGGGACTCCATGTGGTGCAGATGAACAGTGGTGGGGGAGTGGACTCTAGAGGTGTAGCAGGGGGCAGAGTGGGTGCACCGGGAAATACCGCAGAGGGAGACTTGACATGTCGGTGACTCATTGAAAGTGGGGGCTGAGGAAGGGGTCAGAATGACACTGGTGTTTGGGGTGGTGCTGGTTTTCCTGAGGTGGGGACACGGGTAGGGAGCAGGTTTAGTGAGGAGGCATGGGTCAGGCATTCCGTTTTGGACACACTGAATTCAAAGTGGTGGCAAGATGGCCAAATGGAGATGCCATGTAGGAGGGAGATAGGAGTCTGCAGCTAAACATAAATCTGGGTTGATGACAAGGTGAGTATCTCAGGCACCTATTTTATCCCATGGAGCCCAGTGGGTGGTCATTCTAGCCAGCAGAGCATTGTGGAGCGGGAGCTACACTCAGAACTTTCCACTACGAGATCCACCTTCCTCATTCTGTGACCTTCAGCAATTCATCTGACCTTTCTCTGCTCCCCTATCCTCAGCATAAAATGGTGATAGTTATGTCTGTTTCAGAATACCCAGGAGCACGTGTCTGAGGATCCATTAAACTGAAAATAAAACATGTGGAGCACTTTGGAAGTAAGAACTATGTTAAAACAAGGAGTTATTATAGTTGTGCGTTAGCCAATGAAAAGCAGAAATATAGCCCCAAGGCTCAGTATTGATTTTGGTCCCGGGTACTTCCCGCAGCTGAATAAATCTGACATTTCTGCCCTCAAGTGCTGGCTGTGCTGATGGCAGGTCTCCAGCTTCCAGCTTCCTTGCCCCTGTTCCAAGGTTATGTCCTTTCTCGGCTCTGGCCAGATCCAGCATCCCCACACCTGCCCGTGGTGCTCTGGCTGCCCTTCCCACCCCAGTGGGTGGTTCCAGGGAAGGTTCCAGTTGTGAAGTTGGAGACTTGCCAAGAGCAGATGCCCTCTGATTAAACTGGGGACAGGCCCTGCCAGAAAGGCAGAGTTTGGATCTGCAGGACAAGGGATTTAAGGGCTACCAAAGGAAACGCCTATAGACAGTTTCCAAACTTCTGAATGCATGAAGGACTATGGAATGTGCTTGCTTCATTCATTCATTCATTCATTCATTCATCGATAAATATTTATTGAGTGCCCATTGACTGTCAGACTCTGAGATAAGCCTGGGAATACAGGAGTCAAAAAGATGCTATGTATATCCTCCTGGAACTAATATTTGGACTGGGAAAGAGAGAGACAAAGGAACCAAATACTCTTATGGGACAACCAGGTACAAGGCTAGAGAGTGGTGATGCAGCTGGGCTGGGGAGGGCCTGTTTTAGATGAAGTGGTCAGGGAAGCCTTCCCTGAGAGGTGACACCGAGCTGAGATCAGACAGCTAAGAAACAGCTGACCTAGGAAGGGCAGGGAGAGTACATTCCAGGCCAAGGACCTGGCCAGTTCCAAGTACCTGTGGTGAGAACATGCTTGGCATGTGTGCAAAACCATGACAAGGAGCATGGCAAGAATCCAGGGACTGGGAGGGAGGGAGAGAGGCCAGATGGAATAGGGCTTCCTCAGTCATGGGAGGGAGTTTGGGTGGTTTTTTTTTGGTGTCACAGTGAACCATTGAATGGTTTTTTTTTTTTTTTTTTCCCAAGGGAGTGGTTTCTGTTTGGAAGTGATTATCCTGAATGGATAATGGATTGGAGGGGAAAGGAAAGAATCAGGGAGATGAACCAAGAAGCCAGTGTAGTCCTCCAGGTGAGAAGCAGTGGCTGTGGGCCCCAGGGTGCCATGTGCGTGGACTGAAGTGGATGGATTGGAGGGGCGGTGCGCAGTGGAACAGGTCAGCTTGCTGATAGACACGAGGTGAGGGGCGAGGGCAAGGAAGAGACTGAAGATGCCTCCCAGGTTTCTGGCCTTTGCAGCCATGTGCATGGGATTACATTTACTGCAATAGGGAATCTCTCAGAGCACAGGTTCACGGAGGGAAATCTAGACTCCTGGTTTCACCTGGTCCAGTCTGACACACCCATGGGTCATGTGGAGGAGATGTCAAGTGCGAAGTTGGACGTACAGCTGAAAGTCACCAGACCCTTCGAGGCTGGAAATGCAACTGCAGAATCTCCGCACAGGATTGGATAGGAACACCCAGGGACACGGTGTAGACAGAGCAGAGGGCCCAGGCCTGAGCCCTGAAAATGACCGGTGGGCATGATCAGTGGGGAGTGGGAGAGCCAGCAGGGCTGGTGCCACAGGAGCCTCAGGAAACCTCTCAGAGGCCAAGAACGGGAGGACTGAAGAAGGGGAGGTCTCCCACTCAGTGTGATGACTTGGAGGAGGTTGCTGATGGTGACAAGTCACTTCAGTCAGTGAGGATGAAAAGCACATGAGAGTGGGTGGAAGAAAGAAAGAACTGGAGCTGAGGAGGCAGAATGACATTTGGGGACAACTCTTTGGAGAAGTTTTGCTGTCAAATTGGGCAGAGAAATGGTGAAGTGGCTGCTTGATTGGGTTTCTATGAAAACTAAGAAATGCTCTCTCCATCATTTCTAAATCTCTTTCCCACTCTGATCCAGCCAGGACACGACCCTGAAATACCGAACATATTTCCATGATAAAATAAACTATGGATGACATGTGGTCCCCAATATATTAGCTGTACCTCCATTCCTTTTTCTCCCTCTCCAGAATGCTTCTAGGAATGTAAATCAGTCAGAGCAATGTTGGGATAAGCATCTGCTACTTTTTAGGAAACATCACAATCCAATTTCCGTACATGAAACTACATGCAACCAAGTTAGTTGTGGCACAACTCATATCTGACCACACCACACAGGTTGGGGAGTGTTGGCTAGGTGTGGTCCCAGGCCACAGCTGGGTGCCATTCATTCATTCATTCATTCATCACCTATTTTTTTGAGCACTCGCTGTGTGTCAGGAGCGTGGCTCTGGGCAGTGGGGGCAGAGGTGAATGAGCCAAATGTGGCCTCCGTCCTCCCCTCGCTGCAGCCAGGTAGGGAGCACAAACGTGGAGTAAGGGATTTCAAGAGCAGGGAGCTGACAGCTGGAGAAGGGTGCTCTTAAGGAGAGCCTCACTAGGGTCTTGGCCTGGTCCACAGGTTTAGCAAGAGTTACTGTGAAGAGGTCAGGATGTATAAGCTACAGGGGTGAATTAATGAAGCTCGTGTTGGGTTGGGCGTGGACCGTGGCCCAGGCAGAAGTGAGCACCCAATTCACTTACCCCCACTGGGGTCTGTACCAAGACCAACGTGTCCTAGAAGTCAGGAAAGGAGGAAGGAGTGGCCTGAGAGGCAGCCGGAGCGGGGACGGATGTGCAGGGTCTGGGGGCTTCACTCAGAGTTTGGTTTTCATCAGGAAAGCAACGTGAAGGTTTTTAAGTGTGTGCGTTGAAGGAAGAGGGGCGAAGGTATCAGGTGTGTTTTAAAAGAGCACTCTGGTGTCTGGGGAATGGGGTGTGTTTGTACAAGAGAAAGGCGGCAGGTGAGTGTCACCCGTATGCACACAGGGCACTGCATTAATTCCTTTCCAGCCCTGTTCGACCAGGTGCTGGAAACCAGATGGTGGGGGGGCGGGGGGAGGAGGTCAAGTGCCGCGCCCTCCCCCCTCTTCCTCCCCTCCCTGTCTGTGTCCTGTGTCCTCTTCCTGAAACCTGGTTTAGTTTTCCTCTTTCTCCTTCCTGCCCTCGAGGAAAATCCAACAGGCTGGTGCCAGGGCCAGTTCTCAAAGGATGGGAACACAAGCAGACATGGGCTTCTCTGCAGAAGAACACCAAAAGATACGCACAGGTCCGCCGTGGGGGTACAAGGATGTAGAAATTATAGAAATGGAGGTCAGATGGACTGGTTTAAGGGACTGACAGCCGTGGGCATGGTAATGGGGCATGGGAGTGCAGAGACGCAGGTGGGCACACGACCAGGAATGGCCAGTGCAGAAATTCACTCACCTGGGGCCGGGGGTGGGGGGGTGGGGGTGGGGGTGGCTCCTAAGGAATGCTGATTCAGCGAGTCTGGAGCTTGAAGCAGGAATCCGCATTTTTAAGAAGCCCTCTCCTCCCCCGACCTAGGTGAGGCTGACCTGGGTGGCCCGACGACCTTCCTTTTGAGAATGTCTAAACGCTGGCCGGCTTCTTGGCCTTGTATCCTCAGTCGCTTCCGCTGGCTGTCCGCTGCTTGAGCCTGAAAGCTTGTTTCAGCCCCGCACTGAGCTGTGGATAACCACGTCCCAGGCCGCCCGCCCAGGGGCGGCGCGGCTGTCGGGCGGGCGACACGGCAGCGCACGGCCGCCAGGGGTCGCCAAAGGCCTCGGCTCGTGCGCTCGGGCTCCTCCGCCCGCGGTCGCCGCGCCCGAGCGAGCTGGAGAGCGAGCGGAGCCAGAGCGCTGCGGGCTCACAAAGCGGCCGGACGCGCGGCGGCGGGTGGCAGGAGCTTTGGAGAGCGACGCGGCGGATCAGCCTCCTCTGCGACCGCGCCACGCGAGCTCGAGCAACTCGGACGTGCGGACCCGGGCCGGCCCCCACGGTACGTGCCCCGCGGAACCCCGCGCCCCAACTTGGCGTAGTTGGGACCTCCCCGCGACCACCGGGAGGCTGGCAGGGGCAGGGCCTGGGGGTGTCTCCGCGCGCCCCTCTTGCCGAGGCGGCAGGGCGGGCCAGGGGGACCCCCCACCTCCGCACCCTGCGCCCCGTTGGGCCAGAGCCTGGGCTGGTGCTCGGAGCCCTGTTCTCCCCCTCCCCTACCCCAGAGCTCTGGGCACCGTCTATGGGAGTGCGGCTTGCCGACCCGGGGCTCCCCGTTTTTGGGGAGGGTTGCTGAAAACCCTGATCTGAGAGTAGCGGTCTGTAGGGCACCCGGAGAATAGGCGACAGGGGTCCCCTATAGTTTGGGAGCAGCCCCTAATTTGTGACGCAGCCTCTTCATTTGTAACTAAGCCCCCCATTCGTGAGAGGGGTCCCCGGGTCTCTAGATCCGCGACAGGCGCCCCGGGGTGTGCGGGGATGACCGTGTCCCCGCGGTGAGAGCCCCAGTTCCTGCAGCCCGGGCGGGTCGCGGAGGCGCGGAGAGCGCGGTGCGGCGCGGGGGGCTCGCCTGGCCCTGCGCTCCCGCCTCACGCCCCTGCGTGCCCCCTGCCCGCAGATGCCGGCGATCGCGGTGCTGGCGGCGGCGGCCGCGGCGTGGTGCTTCCTCCAGGTGGAGAGTCGGCACCCGGACGCGCTCGCCGGCGGCGCGGGCCCCCACAACGACAATTTTCTAGACAATGACCGGTGGCTGAGCACCGTCTCCCAGTACGACCGGGACAAGTACTGGAACCGCTTTCGAGACGTGAGTACCGCTGCTGCTGCCAGGCCCTGCGGGGCCCGGGAGCCTCTCAGGGAGGGGGCCTCTGGGGCGGGGTGGAGCGGGGATTGGTGCACACCTGCCCCCGCAGCTTGTCGGTCGGGGTTCCTAGGCTGCCTCTTGCCAGAGAAGAACTTTAAAGACAACTTCGAAGGCTTGATGCTCTTTGCCTGCGACCTGTGGTCCAGGTGTGTGTTATCATGGGACTGGGGGAGGTGACTGACTGACATGGTATGAACAGCAAGCAGCTCAGAGAGAGGCTTCCTCAGGCCCTCCGTTCCCCTAACGTTGGTGGTTGACTTTACCGAGCGCCCTAGAGAACCTTCCTGGGGGCAGCAGTGATTTGGACCATCTCCACGCTGTGCCAGAAGAGTCCGTGCTGCAGATGTTACGCTTGGGGCTGAGCCCGGCTGATTTATTAAGAGAGACAGGTGTTCTAGGAGCTTTGGAGGGTCATGGCAATGGGGCTCATCAAAGGTTGATGGTAGTGGTGTGGGGGAGGTGTGGTGGTTTTGACCCTCGGTGTCTGAGGGGAAAGGGAGCAGGCCACTCATGGAGTCCGTCTCCTGCCCTGAAGAGGAGCCTGGGTGGCAGAGGATTGCTCTTCTGGGGGAGTCCCGGGAGGCACATGTGCTGCCTGTTTCTGCCCCAGGGCTGCTACTGCACGGGTATGTCCCAGAGGATGCTGGACAAGAAGCACCTGGCATAGTGTTTCCAGCAGATGGCGACCGCTCGGGTGCTACGGCGGGGGGGGGGGGGGGGGGGGGGGGGG